TTTCTGGTGTCCCCCGCCATGATATTGCTGGAATATTGCTAAAAGCAGCGTAAAACTAAACTCAGTCTGTTTGTCCATCCCTGTAACAACAATCTTATAAACAATAGACTAACTGATTGTAACTGGTGATTATGGAGTTAGTAAAGACAGTGAATAGTAAATGAAAGTGAAGGTACATGGGAAATATGAAGTTTTTGTTATTTCTGAAATTTCATCACTTCACTAACAGCTAAAAAAATACAGATGGTGGATGTGAATTCCAATGAATGACCTTATAGAACAATCTTCTACCATCACCCCTGAGTTTCCTGCCACAGAATGATAGCAGAGACATGCTTGCCACCTCCCATCACTCACAGTGCCCTTGGGAGCCACAATAGCCCCTATCAACTGAGCTACTGCCAACAGTGATGAGCCAACCACGGCTCTTGCCATGTACTGCCACATATTTACTGTTTGTATTTAATCAGTTTTCCCATTACTAGTCTCCAGTGTAATTAGGTCCATGTGATATATACATGCGTTCCAGTTATTTGCAATTGCCATGTCTGGGTTCATGCTACAAGACGAGTTTTTTTAATGTCTACTTGGAACTTGAGGATTATTGATATTGAATACTGAAGGATGTTTCTTGGCTTAAGATGTAGAATTGATCTGTATGCTGAAAATATTCTGAAACACTTCATTGCTTCTGATGGTCCATGTCAAAGGACAACTAACAGAATATCATTACTGTATTATTCGTTCAAGATATAAAAAGCAGGGATAAGTTGTGTTCAGCAGGTTTGATCTATTTCTCCCATCCATTTTCACTGATTTTCCAAAATGCAACTAAAAATGTTCAATATTTACCCTCAAAGTGATACATGCATATGTATAAAAGGTATGGAAAATGTTTTCTCTGGTGCAACAAAGTCTTGGCAACTTGAATTTCATTTATTTCATAACTTTGGTCATTCATTTAAACTACTTACAGCTCAAGTAATGGTGAGATTCATGACAACTTAAAAACTTTGTATATATTTGAATTGAATCTGACTATTTAAAGTAACACAATGTGATTTGACTTTTTTCTTCTTTTTTGGGTGATTTGGGAATAGTTTTATGTACTATTTTGCTTTTTGTGTGATCTTCCTAGATCTTGCCCAAAACTGCCTGAATGTATAATATCATGGAGACATGTTGTGTGTCTAAACATACCTTTTGGCACATGTTAAACAAAATTCATTTTCATTGAGTGAGTGAGCTTAGTTTTATTCCACACAGGGATCAACAGCATGAACATCGATCTACGCAATTGGGATACGATGACATGTCAACCCAGTCAGCGAGCCTGACCACCTGATCCCGTTAGTCACATCTTATGACAAACATGGGTTACTGAAGATAAATTCTAACCCGGATCTTCATGTGTTGAAGTCATTTTGAACAAGCAAAACTGTGTAAGTCATAAACTAGGTGCAATCATAATCATCAGCTTCCCAGGACTCTGAAGATCTGCTGCCTTTTGATGCTTGAGTAGAATTGTTTCAAACAGTATATACAAGCCATTAAAGGCCACCGGTGGACCAGTGTAACATACTACAATCTAGAGTTGCATCCCTTTGTCATGTCCGGATCCACTGATATCAACTCACGATTTGCAGTGATTACAATTCATAGTTTGTTCTGTGTTTCCTATATTGATGGAAGAAGGTTTCTTCATGTGGCAATTGTCACACTTTCATGCATCTTATTGCCATGGTTTCTATTTAGATGCATGTCGTTTTGCAACAAGGCTTCTTTGTGTGGCAATTGTCTAATTTTCATGCATCTTATTGCCATGGTTTCTATCTAGATGCATGTCATATTGCAACAAGGCTTCTTCATGCATCTTATTGCCATGGTTTCTAATTGTCACACTTTCATGCATCTTATTGCCATGGTTTCTATCTAGATGCATGTCATATTGCAACAAGGCTTCTTCATATGGCAATTGTCACACTTTCATGCATCTTATTGCCATGGTTTCTATCTGCATCATATGCATGATTTTCAAGTGGCAATTGTCACATTTTCATGCATCTTATTGCCATGGTTTCTATCTAGATGCATGTCATATTGCAACAAGGCTTTTCAAGTGGCAATTGTCACACTTTCATGCATCTTATTGCCATGGTTTCTATCTAGATGCATGTCATATTGCAACAAGGCTTTTCAAGTGGCAATTGTCTCATTTTCATGCATCTTATTGCCATGGTTTCTATCTAGATGCATGTCATATTGCAACAAGGCTTCTTCAAGTGGCAATTGTCTCATTTTCATGCATCTTATTGCCATGGTTTCTATCTAGATGCATGTCATGTCATGGCATTGCAATGCATCTTATTGCCATGGTTTCTATCTAGATGCATGTCATATTGCAACAAGGCTTTTCAAGTGGCAATTGTCACACTTTCATGCATCTTATTGCCATGGTTTCTATCTAGATGCATGTCATATTGCAACAAGGCTTTTCAATTGTCACACTTTCATGCATCTTATTGCCATGGTTTCTATCTAGATGCATGTCATATTGCAACAAGGCTTCTTCAAGCGACAATTGTCTTATTTTCATGCATCTTATTGCCATGGTTTCTATCTAGATGCATGTCATATTGCAACAAGGCTTCTTCATATGGCAATTGTCACACTTTCATGCATCTTATTTGCCATGTTTTGTATTCAGATGCATGTCATATTGCAAAAAGGAGTATTGTTATAGCCCTTCATTGCTAGTCTGCAGAGTTGAAAGTCTCTCATAACACACATATCATTCAGAAGATTTCTTCTCAATCCTGCATCTAAAGATATTTAAATATATATCATAAGTACTTCAATCTGGTTTTGATCAGCTTGGACTGATTGCCAAGAGCTGTCCATGTAAAGTTCAGTGGTGTGTCTGTCAAATAATAATGACCATGATGCACCTGATTCATGGATTCATTGAAGGGGACTCCATGTCATTCTTTAATATACTACTCAACTTTGATAGGGATAATTAGATATGTCATTATTCATACTCAATATACAGTTCTATTCATGCTACATTTACAGTTGGCATAGTATGCAAATATTTTATGTGTGTCATCAAAAGGTAAAAAGTATCCCTATCAAAAGTTGTTTTGGAACAGTATTCTGGGTATTTCATGTCAGCTTGATGTGGAGATAAGTCTGAAGTGATAAAGGTCATTTGCCACTTTGGAGAAACCCACAAACATGGTGCTGTTAGACACAGATACATAATCAGGGTAACTGGGAAGTGAACCCACCATCTTAGGTTTGTAGAGTGCCCTAGGGACGACGGAGCCCCCATGGTCCAACATCCAGCAACCCCACCCCAGTCTTAATCAAAACTGGAGGAGGAGAATGTGATCTCCAAATCAATAGACCCCTGCTTCAGACTGTGTATGAAATTTCTGACTTAGCATCCTGTTCCACAGTGAGTGCCAAATGGAACATATTTAAGAACTTAATCTGGCTGAAAAACTGAATGGGGCATTTACATGAATGCCTTTCGTTACTATGATTTACTGTTTAACTTAAACTGTATTTGCAGCATAGTGTATGCTAAGTGCTATTGTGATAAGCCAAAGACTATTTGTTGAACTGTCATGTAATAATACATTGGTAATGTACAAGAACTATCTGAATGTGTTTCCTTCGCCAAAACATTAAATAGATCAAGTTGGGGTTTTTCTTGGCATCTGCTACTGGAATAAACCATAAACATTTTGAGGATGTCTGGTACCTTAATAGAACAGATTTGTTTATGTAATTGAAGTGAAAAGGAAATTAAGTACAAAAAATTGTGAATCTGAAAATAAATAGTTTCCTCCAAAACTTCAAGGTCCATTGGGGTCAAAGTTGAGTCTAACTGAGATAAACAACTACATTGTTTAGTCTTGTTGAGCAAGCAATTGATACAATTTTGAGGTGTTATATTTTTGCATTATTCCCAGTTTTGTGTCTTCCAATTGCAGTTCAGTCGTATCTAAAATGTCATTCTTGAACACTTATCATTATGGATTTGATAGCAGAATGATGATGAATGACGTATGATTTCAAACTTTTCATTGATGTGACACAGTTTGAATTTTGTTGTTTGACCTCTTTTACTTCTATAGCAACTGTGTTGAAATTGTCTATATTTCCCTCTTATTTCCCAGTTATTCAATGTATGATTAAATGTACACGTGTTGTAGAATATATGGCATTATCGATGGTGCTGCATCATTTTTACCTTGTTTCAATGTATTTTTTTGAGAACATGTAAGGAGAAATTGCCACTTACTAATGCCATGTCTTCATTGGTTTAAATTTCACACATGAAGTAGTAGAATTACAAAAAAAACATAATTTGAAACAAGGAATTCTACCTTTCAGTACTTTCAGTTATTTCAGGGTCATTTGATGTAGATGTTCTACTTACTGCTAATTTGGGATGTTAAAAAAAATGACCAAAACATTTTCATAAGTCTCTACTTAAAGCAGTCCATTTATGTTGTTGGTTTGTTGTTTAACACCGCACTCAGCAATATTCCAGCTATATGACGGTGCTCTGTAAATAGTCAAGTCTGTACCAGACAGTCCAGTGATCAACACTATGAGCAGTGATCTACCCAATTGGAAATTTTGACACGTGTCAACCAAGTCAGCAAGCCTGACCACCCGATCCTGTTAGTCACCTCTTACAAGCATGGGTTGCTGGAGACCGATTCTAACTTGGATCTTCACGGTTCCAGTCCATATATCACTACAAAATAGTGATGACATTAGGTGCTCACAAACAATTAGCAAGCATGACATTGGTTTCTGAATGTATTTGTTGAGCAGCAGTGCTTTACTACTCATATATCATATGTACTGAAAATAAGTATGACATTTTAATGGCAACCCCTTTGACATGTTATTACAGTAAATATTAACTTGATGAACTTCTTGCACTTTCTCTGAAACTCTCAATTTCTTTTCTTTTGCAGCTATGATGAGTTGAAGATCATTCCTGCAACCTGAAAGCCTCCTTCTGTGTCCAAGTGACGCAAAACATCTGACAGTGCTGTGTTACTTGCTCAGTCTCTACCCACAGCGCCAGTGGTACCAAAATAAATCAGACACTGTGCACAAGCCAATATTTTCATCACAGAATATCTTTGTACGGAGAAACATACCCATGTGAAGTAATTGTGTTCAAAAACTGCCCATGCTTCATAATGAGTTATCACTTCAATACAGTTAAACCAATTGCCAGAAGACAGACAGGCTTTATTTTTCACTGTATGTAACACATTGATGTTGTGATGTATGTGGTCCGTCAACCATGGCTGGTCTTTCATATGGTCCCAAGGATCTTTGTGCCATGACAACGTTGAAGAGACAGCTCGAAGTGCAATATGTTCATAGAATGATACTTGGATATTGTTTTAGAACCACATTGTGGAAGACGTTCATATTGGCCATAATTTCAACACTGTATCATCATGTAATCAATATCAACGCACCAGTCATCTGTCAGCACTGTAAAGCTACACAAAATAACATGCTTCTAGTAAGTCAGTAGGTGTGTGAAGCCATTCATGAACATTGCTAGTACCAGGACTTAGATCTGTAGACTGTAGTGACACCCGATGAAAGACAGAACATTATTTGTGAATTCTTTAGTTAGGTCTCCACCATCATCCCAGATGTGCAAACCATTTTGCGTGAATGGTCACATGACATGGTCTACATGGCCAGATCCCAGGAGAGAATGATCCTCCTTCCTCCATGACTTTGGCCCAAGGTCGTCAGTCAAAGAAGCTATAGCTACAGAGGACTTGATCTCTATCATCTGCCATTGTGCTGGTGTATCAGGCATTGTAGTACATGTATGTATATACCTTTGACTTTGTGCAGTCATTGTAGCAGATGTACATGCTTTTAGACACTACTGTTAGTGTTGTAGCATTTTGCAAACAGGGGCTAGAATGTTGAAAGTATATAGCTGTATGTCCCACATATAAAACAAGTAAGCAGAGAATATGACAGCATTCTGGTTGGGACAATTAACTAAGGCATATTGATACTTGAGTCACGATATGATATATTTTACACAAACATGTCACACGATGATAAGAAAGGGTATATCTGGTTCATTGTCCTGGAGCCATGTTAGGAATATACCAATGTCAATGTAAGGAATATACTTATGTCAAGGTAAGGAATGTACTTATGTCAAGGTAAGGAATATACTAATGTCAAGGTAAGGAATATACTTATGTCACGGTAAGGAATATACTTATGTCAAGGTAAGGAATATGCTAATGTCAAGGTAAGTAATATGCTAATGTCAATGTAAGGGATATACTAATGTCAGGGTGAGGAATATACTATTGTCAGTGTAAGGAATATACTATTGTCAGGGTAAGGAATATACTATTGTCAGTGTAAGGAATATACTATTGTCAGGGTAAGGAATATACTATTGTCAGGGTAAGGAATATACTATTGTCAGTGTAAGGAATATACTATTGTCAGGGTAAGGAATATACTATTGTCAGGGTAATACTAATGGAATATACTATTGTCAGTGTAAGGAATATACTATTGTCAGGGTAGGGAATATACTATTGTCAGGGTAAGGAATATACTATTGTCAGTGTAAGGAATATACTATTGTCAGGGTAAGGAATATACTAATGTCAATGTAAGGAATATACTATTGTCAGTGTAAGGAATATACTATTGTCAGGGTAAGGAATATACTATTGTCAGTGTATAGTCAGTGTAATATATACTATTGTCAGGGTAGGGAATATACTATTGTCAATGTAAGGAATATACTATTGTCAGTGTAAGGAATATACTATTGTCAGGGTAAGGAATATACTATTGTCAGTGTAAGGAATATACTATTGTCAGGGTAAGGAATATACTATTGTCAGGGTAAGGAATATACTATTGTCAGGGTAAGGAATATACTAATATCAATGTAAGGAATATACTAATGTCAAGATAGACATGAAATGAAACTGGCATCATGAGGAAAATTGTGTCCATGATTTGTGCATAATAAGAATAGTGCATGTGTGGATTCCAGGTTAGAAATTGTCTCCAGCTGGTTGTTAAAGGCAACTGATTGGTAGGGGACCATTCTCCCTTTCCTTTCCACATTGGTTTTATTTAACATTTTGTACATGGATCCTATATACATATAAAAATATTATGACAACCCTAAACCATAATCTATTCCCTACCCCCCAATGTAATTATGTTCACCCACTCAGAGCCCCCACCCCTTTCCTTTGGAAATAACCTGTTCTATACCATTGTCTTTGTTCCCCACTACAAAGGCTGATACCGGTTATGTATCTCACCAATGTGTGACAGGTGGTGTACAAGCTGCATATCATACCGTGACTTAATATTGCTGCAATATGTCAACCATTGCACATCATTTTACATGGATAAATAAGCCTTGGTTATTATATTCAAAACATGATCTGTTTCTAATTGATCTATACCACACATTATGTGCTCTAATGACCTGTGGAAATCTGCATAAGTGGACTTAATAGATCTCTATATGTAAAGTTGGCTGTGTGATGGAGCTATTTCCACAAAGGGAATTCCATGTTTATAAGCATAGTTGTCCATAGTAGCTATTTACAACAATATTTTGTGAACACCTCAGCAAGACTGGACTGACATTGGTACATTTATTAAGTAGGGTCATTGTCTTTGCTGTTGCATACAGATGTTGAGAATATATTTGACTAAAACCTATCAATACGAAGTTTGAGTTTTATCAAATTGGAATGGCAACGGGTATTGTTAAAAAAAATGGTTGTGATTTTTCTGTTTCTCAACAGAATGCTTTTAATACTGTTATTGCTGTGAGTATTGTCACAACAGTATTCATTGCTGAAAGGTTCTGTTTTGGTTTTAACTGAATACTGTTATTATAACATAAACTCTTTACTTGAGTTTGATTTTTTGAAAAATCTCATCTATTTTTTACAATTTTATAGATTCTGTTTGACTATTTTGAGCGAGAGATCAAACCCAGTGCTATGTAATGCCTTATTATTTGAAAGTTCAGTTCTCAAGTAATGTTACTTTTCTTTGTGCAGTGTGCTTTGTCCAGTAATTACCCTTGATTGCTGAGATGGTTCAGTACTTTGTTTCACATTTGCCAACCAAAGAAATCATTCATATTAAGTTGAGTAATTTGTAATATGTTCTCATTATTTTGTTAATTAAGATCAAACTATGAGACATAACATCTTTATTATTCATATCCGCCAAAACACCTAATTCATGATTAGGGCAGATTGATTTATGCAAGTTGCTGCTAGCAGAACAACTAGCTCCAACCTGTATTACAGTGACGTGGCCTACAATTGTCTTTCAAAAGTGCTCTCCTCTTGAGCCAAATAAAGAAATTTGAGATGTGATGACTTTAATATTCATGTGGAGCTTGTCAAAATAGCGCCAGTTTTTTGTTTGTATAGATCTAACATCTCATTCATGTTACGCTAATGGTAATGATCAGCTGCGACAATTTAAATATCCTGACTTTGACTTTTCCACAAATATTTAATGACCAGATATTGAGGGTATATTGGTTCTGATTTTCAGAAATTGACTAGGTTTGTTATCATAAATTTATATTTTTTGCCAGGCACAAATTCACAAAGTATATCTGGACTCATTTCATTTAAATCCTTTATGTCTCTCTATATTTTCCTTTTAAAATATTTGTTAAAGGTTGATAAGAGATGTAGAAAATCTAATGACCTATAGATACAAAGGATTATGTAGAGACTGCAGTTTTTAGCTTCTGCATAGTTAAGGCATTGTAATGTAACATAGTCTAAGAGTACATGCCTTTTGTGGATTGGACCAAGCAGGGTCAAGCTGCCTTGTTACTCTACACGTTTTGGTGAGTGTTAAGTGGCTTTGTTAGTGATGTCTTGAATATATTTTTCCAAATGGCAACTTCCCTATATCTTCCCAACTAAATAAGAAGATTTTAGCAGGGTGATGAGTAAGTTTGTTTTTTGTTTCATAACTGTACTTTTAGAAAACCATGACATAATTGCCTTTTAAGAAATAATATTTAATAATGGTAATACCGGGTATACGGATGTGCTTGATTGATCGACTGTTAGAATCACAAGAGTGGTGTGTGTTTGCCAAAAGACATCACCCTGATATTGCAGAAGTACCATACTAAGTGTGAAAGCATCAGTTTCCCATCCGTGGAAGGAAGGTTGTGAAATGGGAAATATGTGTCTCATTCTTTTGGGCTTTATTGACAATACATTGCTTTAGGGGTTTAACCCTACAAAATGTACACTATGTGCAATTATATAATCTGATGAATCAGTTGCCATGGCAATAAGACTAGACTATCTAAAGGCCATTTAGTGACGAGAATAGAACATGATGTTTTTCAGAAACTGTCCATTAGAAAACAAAAAGGATTTCTTATCAGTCTATCCCTGCTGGATACTGTGAAAATGTGATTGTTTCTGACGTTAGAAAATATCAATAGTGGTTCTGGGTTATGGCAAGAAAAACATCAAATATGTTGCACTAGGCAACAATGACAGAACACCCATGCTGTAGAGTATTGCTCAGAATGCCTCTAAGGAAACCACACTTACAAATGTTGTAGTTGCCCAATTATTTATCAGCAATGACCCACACACAATGTGACAGTGGTAACTGTCAATTGTTCTCTCCATGCACTCCTTGTTCCTTTTAAGTAACATTCTTTTTGACACTCGCTGCCATTGTTTCTTTGGTTCTTCAAGTTGTTCCTGAATATCACAGCTGCCAAAAACCTTTTTTTTCACAAGGACTTAATTTTAGGTTGGCCAAAAATCTATTGTGTATACGGCAGAAATAATTCAAATATAATGCTATGCAATATGTATCATTTTTATATTAGCATAGCCAATAATCATCATCTAAAACTTCATTCTACTCAGCATTTGGCACACATTGGTTTTGTTCAAGTCATGCATAATGTGTATTTGTGTCCATAGTGGTATAGCCCTTTATCTATTCAATAAGTTCACCAGCAACATTCAGAGAAACATTCTTGTAGGCTTCATTTCATTTTTGAATCTCAATTAATCTGAACATTTCATCAGAATGTCATTGTCACAAATAGATAATATCTACTACTGTCATGACAAAGTTTTAGCCTGTGTTTTGATAGGTTTTGATGTTATTAACAAGATATTTACAGATTTGAAAGTATTTTTTCCAAATAACTATAAATGTCAGTTTTCCATAAGATGGTTTAACAAAGTTGGTTTTATTTATAATCTGTTAAAGATTGATGTTAGCAAATTGTGTCCAAGAATTAGTTGAAGGTTATTTGTTTGAAAATGTTAATTGATACAGTGATGTATTTCAGTTAAACTAAAACCATTGAATGTTAAGAATGTTTTATGATGTGTTAACTGAAAGGACCACTTGTGATAACATGTAGACTGTAAATATTCTTTCAAGATAAATACTATCCTTTTCTATGGTGCAGCCTTGGGAAAGTTGGATAACAAGATGGCCCCGGATCATACATTATGAACAGCTTGCAGGACTTGCTCCCTGAACAGACAAACCTGTGATACTACACAGAGTTTGATAGGAACAAAGGGTATCCAGATGGACCCGAAATGTGAAGTATTGGTGGGAAATGCTGTATTACAAATAGTATTCAAATTTGCCATGGAATGTCATTTCAGGTTCATAAACATAAATACACAGCTCAATAAATAGTTGTTCCGTTAATAATATAAAATATCTCAGTATAACCATCAAATGATGAGTAGTCTGTACTGGACAGAAAGTTAGGGATCATCAATATTTGGAGGATTTTGTAAGAACATAGTCTTCACTGCAAAACATCCCTGAAAATAGTCATGATACCTAACTTCTTTTGCTCAGTATAGT